TAAAAAGGAAGAGTAAGGAGTGTTAGAGAGTGGGGGACAAATACCATCTATAGGAGACAGGGTAAATAAACTCAGCCTCATGTACACAAGAGAGTACTATACAACTGTAAAATAGACTGTGGAGGTACTCTAGGAACTGACATGCTATAGTTAGGCATATATTTTGGGGAAAAAAGCAAGGTTCCAGATAGAGTATATCAGCTTTTAGTTATGGAAGGCTGAATAATGGTCTCCAAAAGACATCTATGTCCCTGGAACCTGTGAATGAATATTACATTTCATGGCAAAAGATTGGATTAAGTTAAGGATCTTTTTTTTTTTTAGCTGAGCCATCCTGCCAACTGTTGGCAGCTCAGCTCGGGCCATGAATCGAACCAGTGACCCTGTTGCTCAGAGATTGCACTCTTGAGCAAGCTCTTAACCAACTGAGCCACTCAGCCAGCCCAAGTTAAGGATCTTGAGATGGGGAAATTATCCTAGATTATCCAGGTTGGCCTTAAATGCAATCGCAAGTATCCTCACAAGAGGGAGGCAGAAGAAATGACCAAACAAAAGAGAAGATGATGTGACCAGGGAGGCAGAGATTGGAGAGATGTAGCCACAAGCCAAGGCATGCCAGCAGACACCAGAAACTGGACAAAGGAAGGAACAGATTCTTCCCGAGAGCCTCCCAGGGAATGCAGCCCTGCTAACACTTTGATTTTGGCCCAGTAAAACTGGTACAGACTATGAGAGAATAATTCCTGTTTTAAGCCACCAAGTTTGTTACAGCAGCCACAGGAAACTAGTATAGTAATAAAGGGGGAAAATAAGAACATATATTCAGGTTTTCTTGTATCTGCATAAAGAAACACTGGAAGGACACAAAAAAACTACAGAGGTCACCAGTGGGGAGGAGGTGGATGGGGTGGACAGAAATGGGAGCGGGAACAAGACTTCTCAGGCAAAAGGCAGACAGAGAGGGCAAAGCGGGGGGCAGCTGGTGAAAGAGGACAGAAGGGCTGATTCAGAGAAGAGCTGTGGCACCCGAAGACCAGAACACCAGGGCCCACAGCTGCTGCAGTCCCTTCAGCCTCGGTCCTGTTGGTTATCTTATCTAGAGCATGGAGTGGCATGCACTACTAGAAGTTCTTTTCTTCCTTACCAATGTAACTCAAAATTTCTTCAGTGATTAAATGCTCAGCTAAAAGACTACATTTCCTAGTCTTCTTTGCAGTTGGGGGTGATCAATGATAAAGAACCCAACATTGGGTGGGGTTTCTGGGAAGACTTTGTAAAGGGGGCTGACTCAGTTTAGCGTTGAGTCCCTTTTGCTCTTTCTCCCTTCCCTTTTTTTCCTACCAGGAATGGTAGAGCATGATGGCTGGGGCCCTGGCAGCCATCTTGAATGGAAGCTACCTGCTAAGATGACAGAGCAGAAAGATAGGACCCTCATCCCTGATGACTGTGAAAGCCTCCACACCAGTGCTGCTCTGCCAACCTCTGCACTTGTTTTATATGAGAGAGAAATAAACCCTGTGGTAGGCTGTAGTATTGTTCAAAATATTTGCTGCCCACCCCACATGGAATTTACACATTTCTACTCCACTGACCCTGTATGTTGATCCTATGGCAACTGTACATAGTAGCCAGATGACTGTATAAAAATCAGTTTACGTCTGTTATTTAAGTCGCACCAATGGCTGTCAGGCTGTTCCTCACACAGGCTAGTCCATTTTCATGTCAAGGCCCACCCCTGAGTCTGTCTTGCAGAAGCCACTTAGGTAAGAGTTGGGTGAGCAGCAGGCTTACCATAGACTTGTATTGGTTAAAGGAGTGAAACTGACATGGTCACTTCTAAATATACAATTTACCAGGAGCCATTGGGAGATTCTCCCCACTTGCTCTTCTCCCCAGCAATAGTCCATGTAGGGGCAGCTTCTTCAGCCTGAGTCCACAATTAAGATAGTATAGAGTAGGACTACAAATGACCTGCAAAGGACATAGTGTGAGCAAGAAATAAACCTTTGTTAAGTCACTGAGATTTTGTGCGTTTGTTACTACAACGTAACTTAACCATGCTGATTTCTACACACCCCCCAGTTTGTTTAAGCCACTATTATTTCAGGACTTTGTTACTGCCAACCAGATGCAACTCCTAAAGGATACCCCCCGATTAGAGATGACTGCCATTTGTTCCTGAAGGGGCCTAAAACAGAACTAATGTTTCCTTTGGCTGCTGGGCAGGTTTTTAAGTTATTCCCTGACAGCCACTTCCCTCGATATGTTTCACCTTGTTCCTACCTAGCATCCATGCCTTCTCCTGAATCTCCTTTAGAAGCTGCTCCTCACCCAACTCTTAGCTAAGTGGCTTCCGCAAGACTGAGTCAGGGGTGGGCTTTGAGGTGGAAACGGACGAGCCTGTGTGAGGAACAGCCTGACAGCCACTGGTGGGGCTTAAATAATGCAGACAAACTGATTTTTAGACAGTCATCTGGCTTGGCTACTATGTACAGTTGTTATTGTTCTCCTTCCTATTAAATGTGAAACACTTAGAGCAGTGCCTGGCATACAGTGAGTGCTGTGTAAATAAGTTATTATTGTTGTTGTTGTAAGGGAGGCCAGAGTGGAAGCAGGAAAACCAGCAAGCAGCAATCACAGTGTTTCGTTAAGTGATGATGGCAGACTGGACTAGGCTTTGACAGCAGAATTGATGAGAAGAAGTGGTCAGACTGGGAAAGTGGTTTTTTTCCCCTTATTTCCTATAAATTTAGGTAGGAGTTTCCCATTTGCATTTATATCTACATTGCCAAGGTGTAGGGGCTTTGTTGTGATTGTTGCAGGATGGGGATGTGTTTGGAGGGTAGAGTAAAAGGGTAGGTTAATGGACTAAATTGGGGACAATGGTGCTAAAGAAAAGAAAGGATTATGGATGATGCCCAGATTGTGTATTCATTTCTTCAATTTTGACCACCCCCCCGCCCATCCATGAGCTCTATCAGGCAGGAACAAAATCTGTCAGGGTCCTTTGTGTCTAGCGGGAGCTTGCTTACTCCAGGGAGACACTCTGAGTTGCTGATTTAACAAATAGTGCCAGAATGATATATTTTAAAAAGCAAGTCTGGACACACTGATTTAGGTTTAAAGACTCCTCTGCAATTCTCCTACCCTGTACCAGGGTCCCTCAAGGGAATTGTACTGCTGGGTTTCCTAGGGAGCCCATCTGAAATGCATTCATTGAATTCATCCAACAAATATTTACTGAGCACCCACTATGTGCCAGGCACTGTTCTAGGTGCAGGGGACACAACAGAGAATAAGACAGACAAAAATCCCTACCTTCATGAATCTGACATTCTAGTGGGGGAGACAATACGTTTTTTTATTTGTTTGTTTGTTTGTTTTTAGCTGAGCCATCCTGCCACCTGTTGGCAGCTCAGCGGCAACCCAGCTCGGGCCGGGAATCGAACCTCTGTTGCTCAGAGCTCACACTCTTGCGTGAGCTCTTAACCAACTGAGCCACTCGGCTGGCCCTAGTGGGGGAGACAATAAATGAATACATCAAATATGTGGTATGCCAAACTGTGGTAAGTGTTAAAGGGAAAAATAGAGCAGGAGGCAGATAGGGAGAGTATGTATGGATCTGGGAGAGGCTTATCATTTTACATAGAGTGATGATCATAAAGGGAAGAACTTTCCAGACAGAAGGCATAGCACAGGCAAAGGCCCTGGGGCAACTATGTGCCTGGTGTGCTAGAGGAGCATCGAGTAGGTCAATGACACTGGAGCAGAGTAAGTAAGGGGCAGGAGGGAGATGAGGTCATACAGATATTGGGGATCCAGATCCTATAGGGCTTAATAGGCCTGCTTTCTCCCTGCTCCAGCCTCATCTTCTTGTCTTTTATAGAGTGAAGTGGGAGCCAGGGCAGGGATCTGAGCAGAGAGGGCCCTGATCTGACTTAGGCGTTCACCAGTTCCCTGTGACTGCATGTGGGGGGGTCTCACCAAACAAAAGAAAAACCAGAAGTATTATTTGGGTTTGGGGGAAGGGTGAAAATTTAAATGAGATATAAATGCAAGTGGATAGGCTCGAAGCAAAGTAGAACTGTGTGCAAGGGGATCAATATCAAATCTAGATTGTGAAGTGGGCCCAAGGTCCTGTCCACTAGGAAGCAATAAAGTTTAAACAGATGTGGAGCACTGCGTCCAGCAACGCCTTACCTGAGGCTCTGCACCTGGATTGTAAATCGAGGCTGCTTCTCTATGTCAAAGTGACTTACTTCCTCCAGGCATTATAAGTGAGATGTTTCATTCTTACTGATATACTTCAAACAGCAAAGTTTGTGATAGTCTATGATTTTAGAGAACAAAGTTTCCTAGTGAGTAAGAAAGCAGTAGTCACTCAAAGAAGGGAAGTTGCGTCACTTTACACCTGCAGCATGTCCCTGAGAAAAATACAGAAATATTCTTTCCTATTAACTCTTCATCTGGCTTTTTCCCGTGTCTATTATTACAGCCAAATGAATGGGAAGGCCGATATTTTTTTACAGCTCAAACTAATTTTTACTTTTTCAAGTGTGAGGAAAGAGAAGAGGTAAGGATGACTTAAAGGTTTCTAGCTTGAACAACAGGAAGGTTGGAGTAAGCTATTAACTAAGATAGGAAAGGTTGTAGAAGGTTTCGAGGGGAGACAAGATCAGGAACTTGGTTTCGAATGTTTTGAGTTTGAGATGGCTCAAATTCGTGGAGATGGCTCTCGGGCAGTTGTAGGCTCTTACAGAGCCTGGACCAAGCTCACTTCTCCCTACACAGCACTCCCCTTCTTCCGCCCGCCCGGTTCACTGCCTCTTTCTCCTGCGATGCTTGCTGGTGAAATGTTAAGAATACTATCTCTTCACCCTGCTAACCCTGCTTCTAGAGGCCTGCAAACTGGACCAGGTACGGAAACAGCTGCATTTATTGGGCACCGCCCCCTACAGGGCCCCGCCTCCCCGCAAGCCCCGCCCCGCACTTGCGCTCACTTGTAGAAGCTCACAGGGCGGTTGTCGGTGCCCAGTCGGCCGGCAGTGTTGGAGCAGTTCGGAGCCCAGCAGTACTTGGGCATGGCTGTGCAGCCCCGTTGAATTTTGTCCGGTCTGCAGCCACACTTTGGTTGTCTCCAGGAGCCACCGAACCTGCCCCGCCCGCGCGATGTCCTCCTGCTTCCTGTGAGGACCGTGGTGCCTCATCACGTGTCGCGGGAGGGTCGAGAGCGCCTGCGTACTACCCGCTCTGCCGCCTCACCACATCTACGCCCTGGTCACGTGGTGAGTGGGGGAAAACGAATACGCCTTATTCTAGCTTTCTGGACTTTATCACAGGTTTGGGGAGAGGTGGCGTCACAGCGTTCCTGAGCCTGCGCCAACTCGTCAGTCTCTTTCTGCTCCACCTTACATTTACATCCGGGAGACTGCCACTGCGCGGATAGTTACCCTGGGGCTGCAGCAAAAAGCGAGATGAGGCGGCTTTGGTCTTAGTCACGTTAAGGTTAAAACCAGTATGTTTCAGTGAATGATGCAAACAGATTGGATAAAAAAACGCTACCATGCTTAATCAAGGCTAACTGGCTCCTCCCCGCCAGACACGCCTTTCCGACTCTTAGCCCTCATTGGTCAAAAGCGCCTCCCGGCAGCTCTGAGATTGGCCAGACCGGCGGCTACCGCATCCAATGGGCGGAAGCGCCGGTTTTCCCGCGGCTGTTCGTTATTTGAGTAGGTGTTGGCAGCGGTAGTGGAGGAGTAACGGTCGCCGGTTCCGGCGCGACGATGGCGGCCTTGGGGCCCGGGAACTACGCGCGGAACGATGAAGTCGAGAAGCTGCCATCCGTCATGGCGGGAGTTCCAGCGCGGAGGGGCCAGTCCTCCCCGCCTCCCGCTCCAGCGCTCTGCCTCCGGCGGCGGACGCGACTCCCGGCGGCTACCGAAGACACGGTGCAGAACCGGGTGAGGAGCTGCTTGGCCTGCCCTTCCCTGGTCCTGCCTTTAGATCTTTGGCCCGGCCTATCAGCTCCCGGCTTTTCCCCTCAGGCTGCTCTCTGGCCCCGCCTCACATATAAGCCCCGCCCCCTTAGCCAAGGGCCCTCCCACTTTCCAGTCTCCTCCTTTTAAGTACTGTCAGTCATTCCTAGTTCCACCTCTCAACCCTTGGCCCCACCCTTAGCCCTTGGAGCATTCCTGGGTTCCTCCCTGGGCCCATCCTTCGGAGTGTGTTTTAGTTCTAATCGCCTCTTAGTCCCGCCTTCCTGCGTGCGTATCCCTTTAATCTTTAGACATCTTTCTGGGCCCATCCACTTTTGTTGACCTCGCCCCCGCTGGGTCTTTAGGGTCCTGAGTCCTACTTGCCCCAATTCTCCCTCAGCTCTACCCCGCCTTTCCTCACCCCCTGCCTCCTCTCTTACCAAGGTGGGATTCTAATTCCATATTGCCACCCAAAATTATGGAGAGGATGTAATATTTGTAAAATCTCAGCAGCGCTGCCTGGAGGGGAGGGCGTACAGAACAGTTCCCTAAGTCCTGAGACACAAACTTTTGAGACGATTTTAGAGTCGGTAGAGGGAAGAATTCCATTAGCACAGCAGCAATTTAAAAAATTGTTCTCCAGCTCCCTGAGCCACGAAGTCTGCTTTTATAACATGGAGATAATAACAACCATACCGTGAAGTTGCAGGGAGATTAAATGAAATTGTGAATATGACCTGCGAAGCAGGGTCCAGATAAACAGTGGATGGATACATGATAGCTGCCAGAGGATCTTGTTCCTGCTTGTGACTTCCTGCTGCACTCAGATTATATCACCCACTCCTGGCTGAAAGGCCCTGAGCAAGTGGCCCCTGCCCCCCTGTCTGGCGGTACCTCCCTTATCCACCCTCACACAAAGGTCCACTCACACTGTCCTGTCTGTTTTCCTGAGGCGCCAACCTCTTTCCCTCCTCCTAGCCTTTGTGTCTGGTGAGTTCTCTGTCTGGGCTGTTTGCTGTAGTCTACCTGGCTGTCTCCTCATTCCTCAAGTCTCAACCCCAGCCTAAAGCAGACACCCACCTTCATCTCTCACCCAGCACCCTATATACTTCATAGCCCTTATCTTGCATGTTCCTCCTGAAAGTGCCTTATGAGCTTTCATGTGTAAAGTAGAGGAATAACGATGAGAAGAAAGTCTTCCTGTTAGGAACTTTTCTGTGCCTCAATTTCCTCATCTGTAAAATGAGGCTAATAGTATAAATATTCTCTTATAGAATATTTGTGAGGATGAAGTGGGGCCACATATCTTAAGCACTCAGAACACCTGGCACATTGCAAATACCCTGTTAGTGTTAGCTACTACTGTTATGATTGTGTATTTTGGGTAATTGATGTCATTTATTTATTTTCCTTGTTTGGTGGTGCAGAGTCCACCTGGCTTGCAAAATACCTAGTCTAAAAATTACCAGTTATATTAATGCCCAGTAGTGCTGACTGACAGATAAAAAAACATGAGTGTCATTGCCTGGCTGCTTGGGTTAGAGTCCTGGCACTGCTTCTTCCTGGATGGTAACCCTTCTGGGCTTCTGTTTCCTCACCTGTAAGACAGAAATGATGATGACAATAGTGACCAAAGCACCAGGTTATTGAGAATATTAAACAAGGTAATAGTTACACGTATTTGAACAGTGCCTGGCTCCTGGTAAATGCTCAATAAATGTTAGCTATTATTGTCCAATATTTGCTTTTAATTTCTGAGGCCAAGGACTTGATTGAGAGTGTTTTATTTTATAATACTTAGAAACTAGTCTAATACGAAAATATCACAAACCTGTGAATCCATACTCTATAAATTATTTGATCAACCATGATGAAAACTGGTCCATTTATCTTACTTTGCTTAGCAAGTTTTTAAATTTTAAATGTGATTGTTCACTTGTTTCTTTAGTTGGTGAACCTCTAGACTATAAATTTGATGAGGGAATGGACAGTGTCCACTTTTGCTCACTGCTGTGTCTCCCCTGCAGGGCCCAAAGTGCTAGCTTTGGAGCCAGACTACCTGGGTTTGTATCCCCCATCTTGCCACTGCAGGGGTGGGACCTTGGGCCTCAATGTTCTCATCTGTAAAATGGGGCTAATAACAGTGCCTTCTTCCTTGGTTTGTTGTGGGGTTTCAAGTCTTTCATCCACACAAAATACTTAGAAATTATTCAAAGGCCACCTCTTCCATGTGGCCTTTTCCCCTTCCCCTGTGCTCCCAATTTCCTTCCCTGCTTTGTTTTTCTCTATTGCTCCTATCATCACCTGATACCTATTTTGCATATTTTTTTCTGTTTGTTTTCTTGGAATGTCCTCCATGCCATTACCACCAGAATGCGAGCCTCGGGAAGGCAGGGATTTTTACCTATTTTCCTCACCATTCTGTGCTCTTCACTGGGCACTGTGTATTTGTCAAAGGAATGTTGAATACAACAAGTGTTAGCTGATGGTAGATGACTATAGAAGCTCAGTGAGTGTGTTGAATGTGATAGGAACTGAATGGGTGGCCAAGGCGGCTATGCCACATGGGGCCTGCTGGGACAGGTGCTTTTGACTTGGACCTTTTCCCCGCAGGTGTCACTGGAGAAGGTGCTCGGCATCACAGCCCAGAACAGCAGTGGCCTAACCTGTGACCCCAGCACAGGCCATGTGGCCTACCTAGCAGGGTGAGTGAGTGGATTGGCCTCAGCCTTTCCATCTGTAGAATGCAGGTAATGCTGCCTACCTCTGAGGGCTGTGGAGAGGATTCCACGGGCCCATCTGTGTCTAGATCAGTACGTGGCATGTAGTGAGCCCTATGAAAGCCTGCAGGTGGGAGGTGGCAGCGATTATAGGAAAGACGGGTGGTTAAGACCCAAGCTGTGGTGTCAGATGACCTGGATTTGTGTCCCAGCTCCACCAACTGCCCCTCTCTGAACCTCTGCTTCTATGTCTATGAAACAGAAATAGTGATACCCTCCTCTTGGGTAGCTGGGAGGACTGAAGGACATTCTGCAGCTGTTTATTCCACAAACACTGATCTAGCCTGACCCTGTTCTAGGCGCTGAAGGGAACACACACACACACACACACACACACACACACACACACACACACGCGCGCGCACACACACACCCTGGCAGGACAGGGCAGACCAGGGATCATTCCTGATGAACAGTATCTATTACTGGGTCTTAGGGAAGTAAGCAGTCCAGGATAGAGAACAGGGGCAGGCTCTTGAGTCTGACAGGTAGAGATTCACATCCCCACTCTGTCCCAGACCTACTGGGTAGCCCTGGGCAAAGGACTTTGCCTCTCTGGGCTTTAGTTTCCACATCTATAAAATGGGACTAAGATTCCTGACCTTACCTGGCAGTCGTGAGGATTTAAAGAAATTGTGCACATACAGTCTTTATTAGCCCAGGGCCTGGCAGGACAGTTACCACAGAGGAAGTGTTGGTTTCTATTGAAGAATGTATTAATAATAATGTGAGGTGCCCTAGAATTCTCAACATACACACTTGGAAGAGGAGGTGACCAGAGAGAGAATCCTTTGCTCCAAGGGATCTTTATTTATGTGTGGGCTCTCTTCTGTTGGGAACAGAATCATCCCTGAACCCCAATACTCCCCTCAGTTTGGGCACATTTTCCTCTTTCTCCCTAGCTGTGTGGTGGTGATTTTGGACCCCAAGGAGAACAAGCAGCAGCACATTTTAAACACTGCCAGGTAGGCTGGGGCCTGGGCATGGGCAGGGGTGGGACCAGGGTTCTGGAACACCACCCCTTCCCCACATTCTGTGGAAGTCCTTGTGGGTGGGTGACTCACTCATTCACTCACCCATGAGTTCAGCAACATTCACCAAGTATCTGTTCTGTGTTAGGTATTGTCCCTGTTGCTGGGGACACAGCAGTGAACAAAAGAGGAGAATCTGCTCCCTGTAGAGCTGACAGCTCGGCAGGGGAGACAGACTAACCCGATTGGCCAGTAAGCCCCCTGTGACCATTGCTATGAAGGAAGTGATGGGGGATGTGTTAGGGCAGGTTTGCAGGCAGAGAGTGGAGGGACAGCCATAGCAGAAGGCTCTGGGAAGGCCTTCCCAAGACTGAGGCCTGAAGGAAGCGAGGGGGTGACCCATGTGAAGGTGCGGGAAGAGTGTTTCAGGCAGAGCGAACAGCAAGGGCAAGGGCCTGATAGTAGTTAAGACTCTCAGGTTGTTTGAGGAGCAGCCAGGGATTCATGTGCATGGGATGGAGGAGTAGGTGAGGGGGAGAGAAGCGGGGAACCGGCAGAAGCCACATCACATGGGCCTTGGGGAGGGGGCGTGGATAGTGATTACAAAGAGAAGCCACTGGAGGGCCATTTATAGGCTAAGGATATGCTTTCCACGCTGTAGCCCTCCAGCATGCGTTATCTCCCTTCGCTGTTTTACTTTTCTCCACAAAATATACTCCTTTCTCATATGCTATCTAATTTTCTCACTGATGATATTCACTGTCTATCACCCTTCCACGGTGTGAGGGCAGAGACTTTCTCTTAGTTAATTTCTACGTCCCTATCACTTAGAGCAGTATCTAGCACATTGATGGCACTTATTATTTCATGAATGAATGTGATGTAGAAAGATCCCTCCAGCTGCTAGTTTATTGGGGAAGGCCCTTGGCCCTGAGTAGGCCCAAGTTGGTGCCCAGGGGTCTGCCTTGGGGCTGCTTGATCACTGTGTCATCCTGGGTTGTGACCTTTGGGGACTGCACATCACTCAGTGGCATAGCTCACGCTTAGCTCCTGTGGCCTGATTTCCCAGGTGGAAGGATAAGATGTGGGTTTTCTCCTTCCCTTACAGTTCCTAAGATAGGTTCCTTAAGCTATTGTAGGTCCCTATGGTATGGCAGATACAGATTTCCTCTTGGAAGGGGCTTCTTATACCCTTGGCTCCTGACTGTTGCTTCTGTCACTAGTGGCGTGGGCAGAACTGGGATCCAGTGGTTTCAGGTGAGACACTTCTTTCTGAGCCTTGGCCTCCCCTAAAATAGCTACCCCCTATTGTGAATGTGCTCATAAGGCAACATTTGCAAACCAGAGGCCCATAGATTTGTCTCACACAATGTATTTTAAAGATTGGACTACTTGACAATATTTAAAGTCTTTTTACAAAAATCCATATCTCTCTTTCATGTTGGAAAAGTGAGAGATTCTGGTCCCTGGGGCCCACATTCCTGTATGGCAGCGATGTGCCGGAGCTTCATGGAATTTGTCAGAACTCCCCTTGGCCAGTTCCTCTCAGCCTCCATGTTGCCTCCTTGATTCCTGTAAGGATTGGAGCAGGTAACCTTGATCTGAAGCGGATGGCATGGAAAGGGTCCACTCTCAACCACCGATGGGTCTGTCTTAGGAGGTGGTGTGGCCAGACTAGAGGTTTCACCCTGGCTGCATTTCAGAGTCACCTGACCCCTGCATTTCAGAGTCACCTGAATCATTGGTCTGGAGTGAGGCCTGGGCATTTGCAACTTTTAAACTTTTTATATTGAAATAATTTCAGACTTACAAGTATAGTACAAAGAGCGTATGTGTACCTTTCACTCATATTCCCCAAATGTTAACATTTTACCATATTTGCTTTATCATTCTCT